CGCATTTATTGTTGAATCTGCATTTGCAAAGACAACACGCTGCCACTGCACTGACGGATTAGCATTTGAGCCATTTTCGTTCCGAAAATCATATTCAAAAATCACTAGTAGCAGTAGAGCTCCTTGTGAGTTCGTCCAGGGTAGTACTGCCACATTACCGTGTTACAGTTTTGAAGGGTAAGGGTGCTGGTGAAATTACAGGCACATGGGACTTGTCAACTATGTCTCAGAGAGATGGACGCCGTAGCAGTAGCCTTCGAGCGGCAGTGCTACTGTTATGGACAGGCGTGACGCTTTCCACCGGGTACACGACTTGTTCGACCCGTCGCTTAATATTTAAAAAAAAAAAATTTTTTAGTAACTTACTTTTTAAAGGGACTTACTTTTTTGTTTCGTGGACTTTCTTCTTTTTTAATTGTGAAACAGGGACCACAAAACAATATCAAGGGTTATGACATCTTGCTTAGCTGATGAACATTAAAAAGACTTAATTCTTAATACGTTAAATGATAACAAAAAATCGTTAAAAAAAAGACCTATTGGCGACTAGTTTTTGTAAATTATGTTTTTAAATTGTTGAACATTAAAATGATCAGAAACAATTTTCAGTTGTAAAGTTCCATTTTTCCTCATTATTTTCAAAGACTAATAAGGCCATCACCTTTAGTACTTCAAGAGTAGGTAATAAATAAAATAATATGAAAATATGAAAAAACTTGAAATCTTATTTTCTTTTTTATTCCCAAAAAGTTGAAATTTTGTATTGGGACACTTTCATCGTAAAGGTGCAACCTGAAGGTCGGTAAACGTCAAGAAATTAGTTTTGATCGTTGACCACGAATTAATTATTGTAATTTTAATTTAATTTAATTTTTTTTTTATGATTGATTTAGTGTCTGTTTAAGTATATCTAAATGTTTTAAAATGAATGTTGAGCACAGTAATAATTGGGCACAGATATGCCTGTTGTATTAATTTTTAAGTGTTTTTATTTTCCTCACTTTCTGTATCTGATGTCTGTACATTGTGCCATAAATAAAAAATAAAAAATAAAAATAAAATAAATTTTCATCACTTGCTTGGAAATGAAAATATCGTGAGAAAACTTGGATTTCGGAGATAATTGCCGAAATCTTCAAAGATGCGAGAATGTCAAGTTTCCAACCAGTACTTACTATGCAAGTGCAGTGGACTAAACCTTGTGCAAAAAATAGTACTTTACTAACTTACATACGTCTATTGCTGAGCGCACGTTTCTAACAACAGGCTTACGCTTAATTTGACTTATCTACACACGACAACTTTCTGGGTATGGGTTTATTACATGGTGAAATTGAAATAATTAATATCCGTTGAACCTATTAAGGTTCTTACTTCCTAATAATATCTACTCATCTAAAGAAATATTTTAGAATAGTTTAAATTAGCAATAGTGTAAAACCATAAAAAATCTTACCTAAATAAACAAAGTATCAAGATTAGTCGCCTTGCGTACGCGATACGTAATCGTAGCGAAGTCGCAAGCCTTTGGCGGCAACTTTGGCGGCAAAAATATCACCTTTGATTTTCGCCGCCAGCATTTGATTTTATACATGGTGATGTGGATTAGTGGTTAATGTTAGACTCGTTTCGGAGGTCGTGGATTCGATTCTCATAGTTGACTGGCTCTATGGGGTAGTTGTTAGAGTGTTAGGTTTTCTTTGCGGATGTCGTAGATTTGATTCCCATAGTCGACTGCCTCCATAGTCTAGTGGTTAGAGCGTTAGGCTTTCTTTTCGGAAGTCGTGGATTTGATTCCCATAGTCGACTGCCTCTATGGTGTAGTGGTTAGAGTGTTAGGCTTTCGTTTCGGCGGTTGTGGATTTGATTCCCATAGTCGACTGCCTCCATGGTGTAGTGGTTAGTGTTAGGCTTTGTTTTCGGAGGTCGTGGATTTGATTCCTATAGTCGACTGCCTCCATGGTGTAGTGGTTAGAGTGTTAGGCTTTCGTTTCGGAGGTCGTGGATTTGATTCCTATAGTCGACTGCCTCCATGGTGTAGTGGTTAGTGTGTTAGGCTTTCGTTTCGGACGTCGTGAGTTTCCGATGGGTGACTGCCTCCTTAGTGCAGTATATCCGTAATCACTCAGTCAGTTCTTGCATTATGTGGAAGTGGTACGGGTGATGGTCAGAGCTTGTTTACAAACAAAGGCGTAGGTATGCAGTGCAACGTTGAAGGTCGTAGACGTAGGATATAGGTATTCGTTTAATGTGTATGTAATGATGTAATTTGTATCAGGAGAAGGGTCTTATTTCAAAAGGATGGTAATAATTTTAATTTCACCCTGTAGGTACATTATGAAAACGTTACCCTATATTCCAAAATTTGCGTTTCAGTCGGCGTCCTTTGATGTGCCGCCGCTGAGGCAGAGGTGCTATTTTTTAATTTTTTGTAACAGTCTGTAATTGCCGTTTGCGTTGTGAGGACTAAATAGGTGTCATCGTTTTGTTTGTGTCTTGTTTTTGTGTTTATTTAAACTATGTCACGCTTAAGCAATAGTGATTACTAAGAGATGATGTTGTGCGTAGGCGCAGCCGATGGGAGCTTGCGCCAGGCTCGCCAAATTTATTGGGCAAAGTTTATTGATGGCGTCCCAGAAAATCGACGTCGACCATTTCCTGCTGTGGAATGCTTCAGGAAGATGGTTATGAGACTTCATAATAGTGGATCGTTCCGTGGTTCCAGTTCTGAAGGCCGGCCGAGTTCACGAGACCCAGAATTCGAGGCAGATGTTTTGGAACATTTTCTCGGCAATCCAAAGACAAGTACTCGTCGTGCTGCGGCAGCCTTTGGTGGTGTGAACCATATGAGTGTGTGGCGTGTGCTACGGGATGATGGCCAGCATCCATACCATTTTCAAAGAACGCAGGAGCTGTTACAAGCGGACTATGATCTACGTTTGGCATTTTGCCGCTGGTACCGCGACCAGGTTGGGAGGTCTCCCGACTTCGCTTCGTCGGTACTGTGGACAGACGAGGCGTCATTTACGCGTGCGGGCATTATCAATATGCATAATGAACATTTTTGGACTCATTTGAATCCCCGCGTATCAAGGGAATCAAATTTTCAACACCAGTGGCGGATTAACGTGTGGGCTGGTATAATAGGTTGTGCCGTCATCGGTCCAGTGTTTTTGCCGGCAAGTCTGAATGGGGCCAATTATTTAAGATTCCTAACAGAAGACTTGGGTGACGTTCTGATGGCCCTGCCAGTGACACAATACGTGAGACTCGTGATGGAACACGGGATGACTTTCTAGCACGATGGAGCACCCGCACATTTTGCTCGAAATGTACGTTCCCATCTGAACGACCGTCTCCCGCAGTGGATTGGGCGGGGAGGTCCTGTACCCTGGCCAGCGTGGTCCCCAGACTTGACACCGCTCGATTTTTTTTGTGGGGTCATATAAAAATATTGTTTATGCGGAGTCCTGTGAAAGCGCAGAAGAAATGAGGCAGCGGATCGAAATGGCGTTTAGTCAAATCACTCGGCAGATGCTTCAAAGAGTAGAGCAGTCTCTGTACCGACGCACGGAAATATGCATATTGCATGGAGGTCGGCATTTTGAACCTTACCTGTAAATGTGTGAAATGTGCCAGCAGTGCGTGTAGTGATTGTACTTATTATTCAAAATTATCGTAAACAAGTCAATATTTCGTACATTGTACAACAGTGAATTACAATTCGTAGGAAATTCATTAAAACGTGTATGAATTGCACAGTAGGTAAGTACCAATTAAAAAAGTATCCACTATTGTAAAATTGTCGTAAATAAATGTATTAATACAAAATTATGTAGAATGTGTATACGATGAAGGCGTGCGTAACTACGGGCTTAATAAGTAAATAAATATCCTTTAAATTGTATGTAAATAAGTACGTACCTAGGTATGGTATAAAATAATATTGTTAGACATAATTCGATTTTTCTAGGTATTTAAAGATTTTGTTACTTAATATTAACGTGTTATCAACATATTCAAATCATGTTTTTACAGTGGCATTTCAATTGTAGTCAGCTGTTCTTTCGCCCCGCTTGCGGCCGCCCAGGTTTCATTAATGAATTTGTGAAGTCGTAGTAACGTAACTAGCAATAGAGTTGTGACGCAGTGGTTGTTTCGGACAATCACTATTTATACAAACATAATTAAAGTTATATCAACATTAAAAGTCACTTATTTTTATTTGATATTTTGCACAGAGGGTCTAGATCAAGTATAGGTTTGGCTCCTTTAATATGACTACACCTTGCGGTTACACCCTGTATATCGGAAAGCGGTAATTTGTAAATTAGTTTGTACATAACACACGATGCCACCCTACCGACGTGCACCAAACGACATGCCAAAGTTCAGAAAATAATTTCAGCTCAAGATCAATATCGACGACCTAAGTAGTCGCGTGGCATGCATATCAGTTTTCATAGTGTCACCATCTCCGAGGACCCAGGTTCCATCCCCGGCCGAGTCACTGTAGAAAGTTACATTTCTATATGGTCTAATGTACGTAGGTCACCTAGGTGTTTGTGGTACCGTCGTTGTTTCCGATTTTCACAATACAAGTGTGCTTTTGTCACTAACTGGTACCGGTGCAACGTATGTGATTTTATCTAATATTTATTTATTACTATTTAAATAGTATTTCAAGAAAAAAAGTAACTTCTTGTATTTCATATAAAAGAGGAATTAATTAATATACACGGTCATTGATACAATATAAACTAACTATTGATCTTTTTCAAAGCTACGATCTGGAGTGTAGAGATCAGCAGGTCCTCTCTAGTTACTGTTCCATGATAAAATCTATATAAAATATGATAGAAACGGCAACTACTCGACTCGTATTACATAAGCACCTTCTAACTCACACTAGTCCGGCAACTGCTTACTTCTTCGACCTTGACAATAATGTACTATACCCTCCATGAAATCCGCCGCCTGTTCTGTCGGCTGTGCGTTTGGTTCCTTGTCGCGTGCCTTTGCTTCCGTCAGTTTTGCCTCCACTGTAGAGAATTCTTCCTGCGAACCGTACGCTTTACTCACACATTTTTCTAACGTAATCAGCACTACAGTGAAATGAATGCAAAGAAAGATGACTCTGTTGATTTAATTGCTCGATTAGGTAAATTGTACATCCTAAAAGGATTAAATGTTTTAAAAAACGGTGGTCGCCACCCCGATACGCAAAAGCGTTTCTCTTTTTCAGTTAATATAAACCCGACTCAAAAGGAGTTGTTTAGTTTAAATATTACATATCACCGAAACAAAAAGCACACAAATGTGTTTAAAACCATCGAGTTATTGCGGTATATGCGGCTCGTTCGCGAGTCTCCTTTGTGCCCCAATAAGACTACATACCGTTCGGTAAAATTTTAAGGGCCGGTTTAGATTAAGAGAGTCGAGTTCTAGAGTAAAAAGAGAATGTCTCGAAAGGAATCAATCAAAATCGCGTCGCACTCACGCGCAGCAGACGCAGCCTGTCGGCGAGACGCGCGGCACGCTCCTGCCGCCCGGCGCCGACGCCCGCGTCTGTGGAAGCGGAGCCCGCCTCGTCCGCCTCGCCGGCCGCACCGGCGGCCTCGGCTTCCGCTTCGCGCAACAGCCGCCGACCCCTTTCCATCTCTTCCTCCGGGTCGCCGTCGAGGTTGTCGGCCTGGGCGTCGGAGGCGAGAGGGTCGAGTGTAGCGATCGGCGACGGAGCGGCCCTTCGCGCCGTGCGGACGAGTACCTGCGCCTTGACGGCGTCGAGCCACTGGTGCAGCGCCTCGAGCGCCGCCTCGGAGCGCGCCGCCGCCGACGCCATCTCCTCCAGCTGCGCCGCGCGGCCGCTCGCCTGCGGGACGCACAATCGCTGCAGAGGCCCGCGCCGACGTCCCGACTCGTCGCGCTCCGAACGCGGGCAAAGTCGAAGAGAAGTCACCTGGGCGCGCAAGTCGTTCCACCGCGCGGTGAGCGCGTCGACCTCGGCCCGGATCCAGTCCGGCATTATGTGCGCGTCGGCGAGCTGCCGGCCGACGTCCTGAATGCGCGACAGGCGCTCCTCGCTGTGATTCGCCACGTAGTCTTCCAGGTCCTGTAACGCCGCGCGGGTTTAGCCGCCACCAGCCGCGGCGACCGACCGCGACCCTCGGAAACTCACGTAGAGCTCGTCGGCGATCTCTTCGGCGTCTTGCGGCTGGTGCGGGTGCGGAAGCCGCGGGCGCAGGCGCCGCTCCAGGCCGTCCAGCCAAGCCGCCTCTTGCGCCAGCCACGCGCGCAACTCGCCCGACTCGTGCCACGCCTCCGCCAGAACCCTATACGAGTACACACTCGTAAAAAAGTATGCCCTGGGCGGATTCGGGTTTGTGTAGAATCAGTTTGGGAAACTAACGTTTCTAAATTGTTACGGGAAGCGATCTTGGGTTAATTTCATCGCACTAACGCTCACGGTATACGGAATTTCCTATTTCAAGATGACGGAGTAATCGACGGTGACGGTGTGGTAGTCGGCCAAATTTTATTATCACTGTCATAGTAGCAGATTTTTTGCCGTGCTAATAATTGGTAAGAACAACAATACACATTGCAAGAAAACAGGTGGGTGTACCTAGAAACATGATCAAATCGAACGATAAATTGTACTGAAAACTCGCCCCGCCTTCTGTATAATTAATGATAAAACGAACTTACCCGTACGTGAAGTTCTATCGTAATTATGCTTCACTGCTCAATTCTTGCTATTAATGTTCACATGTAGTACTGTTTCGCATCCTACTGCCATCACCACGAATAGTTTAAAGACAAGTAAAAATATGAATGTACGAAATAATAATTAAAAACTTTGTATCAATTTCCGTTGTCGATTTTTAAAGTAAGGTAGAAAGCCTAAAACTGCCCATGCTTAAAAATAAAAAGCCTTTTCTTTGTCAATAATTGACTTTTAGTTATATTATGCAAAATAACAATTCTTCAAGAATATACTGCAAATATATCTAAAACTATCTATACCTAAGTTGGTACTTGCAACACTTGTGTATTAAGAATACAATGAGCAAAAGAATCATCTGGACATGAGACAAATTCCCTATTATAAAATCTCGCAAAAACATGAGGATGCGCTCCACCTAGCAGTTTTTCTAATTACATCTAGATTGATTCCAGCAGCTTCGGCTTTAGATGTCGGCACGTGGCGAGCACTTTATGAACTAAACATACCTGTGTCAATACCGCTTTTGTGGAGCACGTTCTTTATCCAATGTCCCAATGTCTGAATGGTCACATTAGAATGAGATTTCCTAAAACGAATGAACAGGTTGACGGAATTAGTCTGTCTTAAACAATCAGTCTTATTTTTGTAACAACATAGAGTACTAGCGGGACATATTTTGTAACGTTGTACGTTTATTCTACAACTTAAACTACTTATTTCATCTAAAATAAACAATTAACAATTATTAAAATATATTATGTAATTAATTAAAACTATATACAATACGATTGCATTTACAATTATAATACAATTTAACTTATACTAATTATATTTACAAATTAATCCTAATACTTACAAATAATTATCAATAATAGTAACATAATCATCGTTAATATTTTAGTAGTTAAAATGTTAACATTCTAACAATTACATTTCCGAGCCTGAGTGTCCCTATACGTTGGTCGCTATTGTCTCGAGAGCTCTCCGGCGGAACCGGTATGGAACATTCTAGGCCCTCGCCTGGCCGGCCGCCAGTCAGTCCGCCACCGTCATTGAAAGAGATTCCCGTGTTGCGTTCGCACTTGAATATAGTTGTGTCGTCTTACGTGCTCGGCGAAGAAATTATATACTTATTATATACACCAGTGCTGCGGACATCCTTATATTAATTTGTTGTGAGTCCTGACGTATTTCGGGGTCTATATTTGAAAAAGTTTAACGTGACATTCCACACCCAGTTTTGGTAAGTGTTGAACGTTATTCAATCTTATTGTGTAGTAGGTAGCTTAGCCGTAATTGTTAGTAAATTGCAAATCATTATTTAAATATGTACATTTATTCTTGCTTTATGAATATTATAATATTAATCATCATTTCATTTGTGCTGCAATCCAATCATAAGCGTATATTGTAGATCTTCTAGTCTTTCGATAGTATGTATATATATATTGGTGGTATTTAAACTAGTCATCGCTTTCTAGTGCATTTTTATTAAGCTTTGTAACTCCGCTCTGCTTGTGAACACAAAACACGCTAAACTGCTACCCGGTCACTTCCTACGTAGTGCCATAGTCAAAAATGCAGGGTGTTCACAATGTTGGCGGAGGAAACAGAAGCCGAATTCTGAGACTGTCAATTGATTCGCAGGGTGCTCCGTTACCCGATATTTTACCGGAGGACAAACACAATATTCGCCCACCATCTCGACGCCGTTCCTGCCCTCGTGCCCGCTGGCCGCCCTCCGCGGCCCTGTGACTATCAGCAGGAAAGTACCGGTCTGCGACGGCAAACTCTAGACATAGGCATAGTACCAACGACCCTAATTCACTGAATATAAAATTGTATGTTGACTTCGTGGTTTTATTTTAATAATAAAAGGTTCGAACGTCACAATTTCAGGATTTTAATCATAAAAAGGCAGTTTTAGTAAGGGATTGTAAGTATTCGGTCTTGAAGTTTTAATAGCTTCAGAACTAACACAATTATTGATGTTAACACAATTAAGATTTTAATTTATATTATTTATCTGAATTTTTGATAGGGTTTGAACCATGAGAGCAGCTTTTTGATAATAATTCAAGACCTAGATTTTCGTTGGGGCACAATTGTTTTAAATAATCAAGCACTATGTCTTTGTTCCAAGCAAACTCATATTTTCACACCTTTCATAAACCTTATTATTCTGTCGTCGTAAAAGACAACATAACGCTGATTTGCAACAATTAAGACTACCATATTTGTACCCTGAATTATAAAGCTTCGTTAGAAAATAAAGAATGTTAGGAACTAAAGTACTTAAATAAAAATAAGTTGAACTTGACAATTGCTCCACCACCATAACCTCTCCTTTAAATAACAATCATATTGTTTTGTAGTACTGGGGGCTTATTATATAAGGAATTAATCATTATGTCTATAGAGGAAGGACGCATATCCCTGCTTAATAATGCTTCCCTGATAAGACTGCCGCCGCCAAGGTAAAGGTCTTGTGCTGGCTGTGATGCAACCTGGAATCGCCAGAAACCAGTAAATCATTGTTAGATTTAAAGTAAATTATGTTTGATACCAAATTCTTTTTAACCCATGGTTACGTGGGCCAAAACGGAACTATTACGATGCCAACAGCTTCATCAGCAATTATTTTATTCAACATTTTAAGAACGACTGCAAAATGAGGAAATGCATAAAAGAACCATTGTGAGCAATTATTTGTAAAAGCATCTATAGAGTAGGCATACTCGTATAGGTCTGCTCTCCATGAGATGTATCTATTTTGCATTTCACCTGCAGGCAAATTAATCTATCTCTGGAACACCAACATTTTTAACAACTCGCGAAAAAGCATATTATTATTGTTTTAATTCCCACTGTATCTTTTTGAGTTTTTCGGGATTCAAAATCTGCTACACTGTTTTCTGAGGATTTGATGTAACTAGCATAAATAAGTAAATGACTTTCTATGACCATCACTTCTTCGGTTTCCTCGGGCCCTTCTTATATAACAGATATAATGGTGATTTGCATATTTATCCTCTAAACAAGTTCGAATGTAAGAACGTGGTCACTAAAAGGTTATTGACTTTGTCATATGAGGAAACCGAAAATCTCCTTCATGTTCCATTATACGAGTAGTTAATTCCCACACACACAAACACACACTCTCACTCACACACACACACACACACACACACACACACACACACACACACACAC